GGTGGTCCCAGTGGTGATCGGCACACTGGGTGCAGTGCCTAACGACCTTGGCCTGCACTTAAACACAATTGTCGCTGACAAAATTACCATCTGCCAGCTGCAGAAGGCCACCTTACCGGGATCTGCACGCATTATTCACTGATACATCACACAGTCCTAGACACTTGGGAAGTGTCCAACGTGTGATCCAATTCAACAGCCAGCAGAGTGTCTGCTGTGGACTCATCTTGTTTTGTTTCTAATAATAATAATAATAATAATAATAATAATAATAATAATAATAAATGTTTATTTATATTCCACCCTACATCCCCTAAGGGATGCGAAACATCAGGAACAGTCTCTGGCACATGGCCATATAACCCGGAAAATTCACAGCAACCCAAATTATAACTTTACGTCTAGAATTAAAATAATAATATAATGTTGCAATCAGTTGTACCAGCAGATAAGAGTGTGGGTTCTCCTGTCTGGAAAGTATAGATGATCCTTGCTGTATTTCTTTCTTTAGTGGTTGCTAATCTTGAGCTGTAGAAAAAGCACACTCTAAGACCTATCTAGAAGATGCAAGTCTTTTATCTGACATGAGAATGTTGGGTGTAGAAGATCTTATTTTTATTTTCTTGCATGCATGGAAGAACGCTTAATCACAAGACATATCCCTACTGGAAGGCAAAGACCTTTCTATTCAGGCAGGTCTTAAGTATGTATCTGTTATGGTCAATGGTTGATAAAATCAATGACCTAGACTTTTAAAATGTTTTACCTCCTCATTATTTTCTGTATTTTCAAAATATTTTCATTAGTGCCTCAATAATATATTTTACACATTATTCTATGTGATTAGTTGTTGTTTGGAATCTTTGTAATTATATTGTAAACCATCTGGTATTCCAACCCTGGGAGAAAAGCCATACGGAAATCAAATAACAAATACCTCAAGGTCTGTTTTGAAGCTCCAACTCCTCGGATTAACCGTGCTACCTTTGGTTAGGGTTAGGGCATTCTTGGGAGTCCCACAAAGTATCCTTCCCAAGTGCTTTTTTATCTACAGTCTCTTTTAGTATAGTCCAAATATAAACTTACTATCTCAGTGGACACTAAGTTGCCGGGGGTGGGGGTGGGGGGGTGGACGGGACGACACAACACTTTTACGTGTTCAACCCTTGAACACCTAAAAGGGTTGATGGGATTGCCAAGGTGCAAGCACCCATTCCTTCTGCAATGTATGCTGGGATGCATGAGTGAACACTGGTGGTTCATAAGAAAGATTATCCCCATGAGAAAGCATTCCTCTTTGAGTGTAGTTCTCCATATATGGAGAAGAGGAGGTTCCCTGATAGAGTGGTGTTCCTTTTCAATCATGTAGTTCTCGGTTTGTCTGGCGAAGAGATGGTTTCCCAGAAAGGGTGGCATTCCTCCTCAAGTCTAGTGCTCTCTATATGGAGATGAGGGGGGTTCCCTGATAGGGTGGCATTCTTCCTCAAGTCTAGTTCTCTATATATGAAGAGGAGGGGGGTTCCCTGATAGGGTGGCATTCCCCCTCAGGTCTAGTTCTCTATATGTGAAGAAGAGGGAGTCCCTGATAGGGTGGCATTCCTCCTCAAGTCTACTTCTCTATGTATGGAGAAGAGGAGGTTCTGTGATAGGGTGGCATTCCTCCTCAAGTCTACTTCTCTATGTATGGAGAAGAGGGGGTTCCCTGATAGGGTGGCATTCCCCCTCAGGTCTAGTTCTCTATATGTGAAGAAGAGGGAGTTCCCTGATAGGGTGGCATTCCTCCTCAAGTCTACTTCTCTATGTATGGAGAAGAGGAGGTTCTGTGATAGGGTAGCATTCCTCCTCAAGTCTACTTCTCTGTGTATGGAGAAGAGGGGGTTCCCTGATAGGGTGGCATCCCCCTCAGGTCTAGTTCTCTATGTATGGAGAATAAGGGGTTCCCTGATAGGGTGGCATTCCTCTTTCATTGTAGTTCTCTCAAAGGAGACTTTGAGTTCCCTCATAAGGTGGCATTCTTCTCTACGTATAGCACTCTGTATATGTGGAGAAGAAGGGTTTCCCTGATAGGGTGACATACCTTTTGAAATGTAGTTCTCTGTATAGAATATTCTTTCATGCAAATGTACAATAGACATTTATAAGTGGATGTAGTGCGTGACACTAGTGCTGACTGCAGTAGACTGGTCTTTGTGGCCTCAGCAGCCTCCTCCATCCACATCTGAATGTACAGAAAGATGTCCAGACACTTCCTGTCAGCACTCCCAAAGCCCTTCCCAGCTTCAGAAACATGTGCTGTTTGCATTTTGCTGCACCGAGAGAGAGGCAGTTCAGGAAGCTCTAGAAAGGTGAGTCTATCTGTAGTAATCCTGGTCATTAAGAGATCCTGTCATATTTATTAGCTGCTCTTGTTTTTACAGCTGTGGCTCTTGACAAGTCAGCAGCACCACTTGCTTGCTAATATTCCAGTCTCAAAAGAGGAGCAAATGCGTTTAGTTGCTGCCTTACAGCTTACAGAGTGGGAGGCAGAGGGCAGCGGTTTCCCACAGAAAAAAAGGACTTCGGCTGTACTTTTGCTCTTTAGATAAGCAGCCACGCTGATACTTTTAATTTCTTAGGATTTCTAAGGTACTTTGTGTCTGCATGTACCTGCTTTTGTTACAGTTTCCATTTCATAGAATCTTAGAGTTGGGGCATCCAGTCCAACCCCGTCAAGTAGCAGGAAAATCACATTCAAAGCACCCCCCACAGATGACCATCCAGTCTCTGTTTTAAAGCCCCCAAAGAAGGAGCCTCCACCACACTCCGGAGCAGAGAGTTCCACTGCTGAACAGCACTTACAGTGATAAAGTTCTTCCTAATGTTCAAGTGGAATCTCCTTCCCTGTAGTTTGAAGACATTGTTCCACATCCTAGTATCCAGGGCAGCAGTTGAACAGTTCAATTTTTTCCTAATCTCCCAAAAATCTGTAACCTTTTACTTACTGTAATTGCACGCACAGGATCAGCAGGAAACATGAAAGTCCCAATATGTTACCACGTTGATGCTGTCAGCAGGAAAAATAAAAATGTATCCACTACAGACAATCCCCAAGTTACAAACAAGATAGGTTCTGTCGTATGTTAGTCGGAACAGGTACTTTCTGAAATGTAACTCCAGCCAATTTTTTTTAAAAGATTTGGATAGCATCGGGAAGAGTTAATGGGTCTGTGGTGTTTATTTTACTCTCTATTCAGAAGATTTCACCTCACTTTCTATGCCTGTGATAACTAGATTTTGAAAATTGTGGCATGTTGTGGAAACAAGATTGGTGAGAAAGCTTCAGTGGAGACACCTTTTCTCCATGATAACTCTTTCAGGAGTGAATTTCCCTTCCTAGGGGTAGATTTCTCTCCCTTCCTGTTGTCTCACTCCAAGATAATATTTTGCACACCCAGGTTGTTTGGATTTTGTATAGCAAACAAATGGATTTTGTGTAGCAAACAAATGGGGATACAGTTACGGCATCATCTACACATAAACAAATACTACTGATCCGTTGTGGGATGCGACAATGTGATTCAAATGTGCACATGTTCACATGCAACATGTTCACCCCGAGGCAAGATGTGGATGATGTTTATATGTACCCCCTAGATTGGCTTTCCCCTGGTCCATTAGTCTGCCCTAACCTTGGCTATGTGGTCTCTGGAATGAAGAGCATAGTACGCAGGTAAATTCTTGAACCATACATAGGGCAGAATGCAGTAAGGGACAGGGGAGGAGTAGCCACAGGGAGGAAGCAGGGACTATTGTTATAAAGCAGGCATCCCTAATGCATTGCCTATGTGCTTTCCAGACAGCAGCTGTGTTGGAGTTGAGTGTGGTATTATGATGCAGCTGGGAGTGAAAGTGCATGCTGTGAGGCTCCCTGAAGTGCTGTACACATTTCGTTAAGGTTGCGGACATGCAGACATGTGCATACAATGTCAATAAGAAAAGGACAGCACCTTGCTTCCCTGCTCTTGAATTCCACAACAATTTGCACTCCCGTCCACAGCTCACGACTAACACTGGATCTTTCTAAGGGAGTGGGCGGGTGCTCCCCTGTGAGCAAGGGAAAGATCCCTCTTCCCACTAGGACAATGTGCCATGGAGTGCTCCACAGGAGTGAGGGTGATGATTGTCTCCTTGGAGTCTGTAAAGTTCAACAAGTGGGGCAAAAGCCCTTTGCAAACTCTAGAATGTGGATTAAGACTTCCAGTGAAGATGCATACAGACTAGGGCAGTGGTTCTCAACCTGTGGGTCCCCAGATGTTTTGGCCTTCAACTCCCAAAAATCTTAACAGCTGGTAAACTGGGTGGGATTTCTGGGAGTTGTAGGCCAAAACACCTTGGGACCCAATGGTTGAGAACCACTGGACTAGGGTGAGTTGTATTTCATAAAGTACTGGAATCCAACACTGGCTGGCTCACTTTGATTTCTAAATCTCAAGTCAAACATTGCTTGGCCCAAATCCTATTCTTAGTCCCAACTACAGCACACCCATTGAAACGGTGGTAACTTGGTATGTCAGCACTTAATATTTGTTATTTTGATTGACTCAGACCTATGTGAATGTTCATTTTGAAGCTTATCAGTTACACATAAAACTAAAGGTAGACTGAGAAGGCAACCGAATTAAAAACCATTCACCTTGTTGAATAGAGGTTTGATGGATGTGTCATCATATGGCCATGACTTTTAGCTGTTGAAAATACTCTTTAAACTGTGTATAGAGTGAGGTGGAAGCATGATCTTGTAACACAAAGCATTTGCCAAGTTTGAAATGCCATTATTATGGCCTCTCTGCTAATGCTTGTACTCTGAGCATGATACTTAAATTCTGATGATAATTTTTTTGTGTAGCATTGTTGTATGGTACTATAGCCTTCACCTAATTTCTGAGTTGTCCAAGTAATCCTGAGAGCTAATTTTGTTCCATCATGTCTTGCTCTTTCACCCTTATCTCTTCTCATTGTAGATAGCTGCAAGTCTCTGGACCAGCTGAGCCTCACAATCCCTGTGGCAGGACACCCGGTTTCTCCTGCCCACCCACTCTCAGGATGTCCGGTACCCAGCGTGCCACCAGCTGCAGAACCTGTTCCTCACTTGCAGACACCCAACTCAGAGCCCCAGACGATGGCCCGCGAATGCCCACAGAGCTCCAAACCCCCCAGCGGCTCTAAATCCGGTCTTCGGAACACAACCAGCTGTTTACATGTATCTGACAGCAAATCAGCTGGGGCCCATGCTCATCCAAAGCAGCAACGCATTAACCGGAGGAGAGCCACAAATGGCTGGATTCCTATTGGTGCAGCCTCTGAGAAGGCGGTGTATGTGGTGGTAAGCATTCCTGCACACTGTTGTTGAGTAGTGGGCCATCGGGTGGGTACATGGGGCAGGGCTTTTGCTGTAGCATCATCTTGCCTGTTTAAATGTTTCAGTTTTATACTGTATATGGTTACGGCATCAAATGGCTGCCGGGTTGTAAGCCGCCTTGAATCACCTTCGGGTTCAAGAAAGGTGGGATAGAAATATTATAAATAAATACATAAATAAATAAATATATTGTAAAACAAGATGTACACTCTCCTCTTTAAAGTCTTTATTTTAAAACTTCCAGTTCTCAAAAGCCCCTCAGAATGTTTTAAAAATATATTTGTGTGTACAGAAGGATCAACCCATTCTGGCTTCCCTAGTAAAGGATATTATTATTATTATTATTATTATTATTATTATTATTATTACCTATATCTCCCCTCTCCTAATATCTTGAAGCGGGGGTACTGCAAAAGAGACTAGAGAAAGTCACTGAGAAAGCCCTATCACTTTTCCTCACAAATTGTATGTGTGAAGGCAATCGTCTGAAAGAACAACTTCTCAAAATATCAGGGTCTGCCAGATAGCCAGAACCTAAACAATGAAAAGCTTAAAGATCAAATATCTGGAAAACAGATCGACCACCAGCAAACATGTTGGTCGGTATTGGTGGCCCGATACTGTGTACTGTATATGTTTTTTATGCTTTTGTTTGATTATTGTTGTTTTTAAGTACTGTTAACCGCAATGAGTCGCCGTTGTAGGCTGAGATATTGCGGTATATAAGCATACAAAATAAATAAATAATAAATAAAGGGGTTTTGTGTGCTTCCGCTAACTAGCCCTGGTCAATACTCTATCTACAATGCTTTGTACTAACTGAAGTTTCCAAAGACTCTTGGCAATCCCACCCAGAGCACTTTCTGTTGCTGTGTGCCTTCATGTTGTTTCCAACTTATGGTGACCCTAACAGAAACCTATTGTAGGCCTTTCCATCAGTGTGTGACTTACCCAAAGTTACCCAGCAGGTTTTCATAGCCAAGCAGGAATTTGAACCCTAGTCTCCAGAATCTAACACCCAAACCACTGTGCTACACTGGCTTTTTTTGCAGTAATCCAAATGGAATGTAACCAATATGTATGCATTGTGCCAGATCAAACATTTTAAGAACGGGTGCAGTTGGCACCCTGGCTTTGAGCAGATGAGTCCTTTTCTCTCAGCACGTGGAGCCAAAGGATGAGTATTGCTGTAGGATAAAAGCAAAGCAAAGGGAGCCAAACAAATTTATATTGAGCCAGGATTGTTTGTGACAGAATACTCGGGCCTGGTGCCAAGAATTCCCTGCACCTGCTCCTCAGTGTTGGAAAAATCCTCTGGCTCAGCAACTGCTGAGTCAACCTTGGAGATGGAAGGCCTCATTAGCAAGAGGAGCCGGATGTCTTGTGGCAGCCCTGCAGCGAGGACAGCCGCGCCAAGGGGGTTGGAGGCAGCCTGTCTTTGGCTCCAGAAGGGCTGTGCTGAAAACGTGGTTCAGTCTAATGGATTTTGAAGGATGTTTCCCTTCAGGAAAGGTATTGGGATAACTCAGCATCAGATAAAACAGTGACCTCGAGAAACTTAAAGCCTCAGAAAGAAGACATGTAGAATACAAAACGGAATAGAACTGAAAGGAAAGATATGGAGCTTTTAGAATAAGTATCAGGGCACTTTGAGACAGGGCTTAAACCTACTTAAGAGTGGGTTAAACCTGCTCCAGAGCAGGTTTAAGTCCCCACACCCTTCTGAAAAACCCGGGCTTTCTGGGGGGGGGGGGGTGAGCAGTTTGCAGAGGGGGGGGGCTATCTCCAAACTGTTCCCCCCAAAAAGCCTTAGAAGAAAAACTTACCGGGTCACCATTAGGCTTCTCTGGAAGCCTCCTGGAGAGTATCAATGACATACCAGGAGGTCATAGTTACACCACCAGGAGGCTTCCAGAGAGGCCTAAAGGCGACCTGGTAAGTTTTTCTTGTCTTTTAAGGCTTTGGGAGATGGTGGGTGCCCTCCTCAGTTCTCCAGGCTTTTGGAAGCCCGAAGAACTGAGGTGGACTGTGGAGACTAACCCCAAGACTGCGGAAGCAGTCCTGAGAGTCAGTCCCCATTGGCCCTATACTCCATTAGACCCAGGCCTTTCAGGTCTAATAGAGTATCAAAATAATCTGGGTTTACCTGCTTTGTCGCAAATTACTTTGCTTTTACCGGAGGCGTCATTCAGACACTTCTGGGAAAAATGTGAAAAATGCGTCCTGTCTGGAAGGGCCCTCAGAGGAGAAGAGAAACACCTGATGGTATGTTTGTTGTTGTTAGCTGCCAGCAAGTTGACTTTGACTTAATGGAGATCCCATGAGTGAGGGACCTCCAAAACTATCCTATCCACAACAATCCTGCTTAGGTCTTGCAGATTCAGGACCATGGCTTCCCTTATTGACTGCATACCTCTGGAATATGGCCTTTTTCTTATCCTACTGCCTCCTCCCTTACCAAGCACTATTGTCTTTATTTAGGGAATCATGTCTTCTCATTATATGGCCAAAGTATGGTAGTCTCTGTTTAGTCATTTTGGCTTCTAGGGAGAGTTCAGGCTTTATTTGCTCTAGATCCCATTTATTGGTCTTTATAGCCTCTATGGTCCTGATGGTGGTTAGTACTAAAATTATGTGTGATACCGTAGAATCTGAAAAAACAAACCATTACAAAGACCTTTTCTGTATTTCTGGTAGTCTAGTGTTTTGTTTTTGAACTGGAAAAAGGGTCGATCTAGGGCATGTTTAGTGCCTGGCAGGTCCAACTGTGAATTATTTGTCACTTTGAGACATTTGCATGATATCCTACAAAACTATCATCTAGGATTGGCTACGAGTAACCTAAAATTGCCCCTTCATTTGGTGGGAAAAGGGGAAACAAGATGAGTCCCAGCAACTTGTTTACAGATCCACTTCCTCTTATTCACCTCTCTTTGTTGTGGGAGGATCTCATTATGGCATCAGTACATCTGAATATTTCTATCAGCAGAACTATACCTGTTTCTGTTTTAGTCTATGAACATAAATGACAGCAGGGATATAGGAAGAGGAGATCTCATTATAAAAGTTGAATATACAAGAAAAATGGTTTTTAAAAAGAAAGCAGAATGGCATGGTGGTCTTTGGATGCAGAGTTAAAGAACCACCATGATCTGCATCCATGGGCCTCTTTTCTTCTCTGTCTGGGGGACTGACCCAAGTATGACACATGAAGCACCTAAGAACTGCCTGTATAGTGGTGCTGTACTAATATGTATACATATTTAAGGAGAGTCTTCATCCAGCAGTGCTCCAATGTCAAGTATGAAAAAAATTATGTAACATTTTAAGATACAGTTCTAAAAATAAAGACCCAAATTCAGTTGTTAGCCCTACTAGAGACAACCCATTGAGTCAATGGAATTTGACAATTTAAGTGCAGACTTGCCAACCTCGCATTTCATTTACTGGATCTAGTCTAGCTGGATTAACAATTGGATTCACCCTTTAAGTGTTCCTTTGATATGCATATGAAATGGACTTAGTTACTTAGCTAGAACATTGCTCGTACTCTCAGTTGTGTTGTTGTTGAGTGTTGTTGTGTTGTTGAGTGTATGGTTGTGGATATTGGCTTGTAGGTTGTTCGGGCTGTATGGCCATGTTCTAGAAGCATTCTCTCCTGATGTTTCGCCTGCATCTGTGGCAGGCATCCTCAGAGGTTGTGACCTCTGAGGATGCCTGCCACAGATGCAGGTGAAACAGCAGGAGAGAATGCTTCTAGAACATGGCCATACAGCCCGAAAAACCTACAACAACCCAGTGATTCCGGCCATGAAAGCCTTCGACAATACTTTGTGGATTTACTACTCATTTTTATTTTTATTTATTATAACTTGTCTGGGGACCCAAGGCAGCTTACAAATTTACTAGAATACTTACATCATCGAAGAAAGTGCAATTTATGTACTTTTTAGATAACTTATTTTAATCATTTACATAATATAACTAAAGAATTACACAAAGTGTACCCTCCTAGATGTGATTTGTGTGTGTGCGTGTCTGAGGATCGACTTGAAAAACTGCAAGTTTCTTCTGGTGTGAGGAAATTGACCGCCTGTAAGGACGTTGCCCAGGGGACATCTGGATGTTTTACCGTCCTGTGGATGGCTTCTCTCATATCTCATATCCCCTCATGAGAAGCTGGAGCTGATAGATGGGAGCTCACCCCGCTCCCCAGATTTGAACCGCTGACCTTTCAATCAGCGGTCCTGCCAGCACAAGGGTATAACCCACTGCACCACCGGGGGCTCCTCTTAGATGTGATAATGTAGTGGTATGAGCTATTGGCTGCTGCTTTGCTGTGAGCTTCCAAGAAAGAAATCAACAAGTAGTCAGTGGTCACTAATATGATGCCATTTTTGTCACACTGTGACAAAAACCCTGTCAATCTACACAACAAATAAGCTTAAACACTGCTATAAACTACTCTGGTGAGTTGTAAATTGACACTTCGTTTTGATCCAATTTTTACTGATGTTCAAAAATACATTAAAAATCTGGGAGAAACCGTATTTAAATAGTTGGTTTGAATTGGCATTTTCTTTCGTTAGGTCAAATTAACCTATTTTAATAATTCTAAAGCAGTGTAAACTGGGAAGAAGATACTTTTTGATGCAATGTTTTCTAGTAATTTTAAAGATTTTCCCAGGGATTTGTAGAAGGATTTTGATGGGATTATTTTCATGTTTTGTGTCATCCTCTTAATCAGTCCTAAGGGTTTTTTTCTTCGTTTGAAAGTAACAATGGAACATAGTTGAAAAGCAGAGAGGAATGCAAGAAGTTATTGTGTTGTCGAAGGCTTTCATGGCCAGAATCCCTGGGTTGTTGTGTGTTTTCCGGGCTGTATGGCCATGTTCCAGAAGCATTCTCTCCTGACGTTTTGCCTGCATCCATAGATGCAGGCAAAACATCAGGAGAGAATGCTTCTGGAACATGGCCATACAGCCCGGAAAACACAGAAGCATTCTCCTGATGTTTCGTCTGCATCTATGCAGGCAAAACGTCAAGGGAGAATGCTTCTGGAACATGGCCATACAGCCTGGAAAACACACAACAACCCAAGAAGTTATTGTTTAAACACTGCATTGATTAACTGCAATGAATTATTGCTATGATACAGGAGTGGATGAAATGTATTGTTAATTATGCTTTTATGTCTAATTGTGGTTTTAATTTTGTGATTTGTTATGTAATGCCTTCGGAATGGGGCCCATTGTAAGCTGTCCTGAGTCCCCCTTTGGGGGTTGAGAAGGACGGGATAGAAATGCGAGAAATAAATAAAATAAATAAAATGTCATCTTCTGGATGCTGGACTGCAACTCCCATCATTCTAGGGAAATGCAGTCCAACTTTGGCAGGTTTGTGTATGTGTGTTACAATTTCTATTCTTTCTATGATAAATAATAGCGGAAAATGCTTTTAAAAACTTAAGTTTTCTAAGATTTCATCACACCTAGACAATGTGAGGACTTACGACTTATGCATTTTAAAAGTATTTAATTTTCAGCATCTTTACAACATATTAGACTGTGTTGTAGTGCTTTCTACTTCAAGTATTCAAACTAATTGCTTTCATGGGACGGGGAATTCACCTTGCAGTCTTGCACAGACTCAAACGCAAAAGTAATACAGAGCCTTCCTTAAACCTAATGCGAACTAATTGGTCCCCCCCCCCCCCATTTCTTTTCTTCCTGCTGTAATCATTGTTGCCTTTCATCTGAGCAGCGTGGGGGATTTTTTTTGCTTCCGAAATGAACCCACCGGGAAGCGAGATGCCTCCTGCTGCTTCATATACTCCAGCTTCTCCATGGGGTTCTCCGGCAGCAAAGGCACACACCCGTTTCGGCAGAACGTGTTTGACTTGGCGTACATGGTTTAAAGGAAGCCAGGGGCTGTTTCTCCCGCATTGTTTTCCCAGGCTCACTACTCTTGTTGGCTCTCTCCCTTGTCAATATTTGTAGAATGAACCGGAGCCAGCTGTTCGCAAGAGCTACCAGGCGGTGGAGAGAGATGGTGAGATCATCCGGGTCCGAGACACAGTCCTCTTGAAATCAGGACCACGAAAGAAATCGATGCCTTACGTGGCAAAGATATCTGCCCTTTGGGAAGACCCCAAAACAGGTAAAATGATTATATGATGATCCTCAGGGTAAAATGTTGTGGAGAATTGATAAGGAATATATCCAGGCAACACCTTCTCTGGACAGAAACGAGGGGCCCTTTCGTATAGAGAACTTTAGTATTCCAATTCTCTTTTAATGTCAGTGACATCACCTTACGGAATTTGGGATTTGCAGTTTAGGGTGATGTAGTTCCTCATGTAGTTCCTACCGAACACACCAGAATTCATTCATTACATTCATTTCATTTCATTAGGCAGTCCCTCGCAGACCGAGGATAATGGTTCTGCAAGTGTAGTGTCTTGGCAATGGGTCTGCCGAGGAGCTGGCATTGTCCATATTTATTTCTTTATTTACAGTATTTATATTCCGCTCATCTCACCCCGCAGGGGACTCAGGGCGGATTACAATACATGGTAAACATTCAATGCTGTAGACACACAACATATATAGACAGACACTCAGAGGCTATTTAACAATCCAATTTTTTTCATGAGGGTATTCTGGCCACTAGGGGAGCTGTCGCTTCACCATCCATTTGTGACACTGATGAAACTTCCTCATTCTTTGCTTGCTTGCTGGAGATTTTTATGGCCTTGTAAATTAGTTAAATTAGCCTCCCCACATAAGTGGTACCTAAATTTCCTACTTGACAGATGCAACAGTCTTTCGGGTTGCAAAGGTTGACAACAAGCTACACAATTTGGTAGGAAGCTCACTCCGACCCGGGCTGGCTTCGAACTCATGTCCTTTCGGTCAGTAATCTTAATGCAGTTGACTCCCAACCAGCTGTGCCACAGTCCCCATAGACACCTCCAAGGTCATGTGGCCAGCATGACTACATGGAGCACTGTTACCTTTCTGCAGAAGCATTATCTATTGATCTACTCACATTTGCATGTTTTCAAACTGCTAGGTTGGCAGAAGCTGGGGCTAACAGTGGAAGCTCACCCTGTTCCCCAAATTCAAACTGCCAACTTTTCAGTCAGCAAGTTCATCAGCTCAGCAGTTTAACCCACTGAGCCACCTAAAAGTCTGTTAAAATTACTTAGAATACCTAAAAACTGTTAAAATAATTAAAACACTATACAGGTCCCAGGTGACTCTTAATTTCTGCCCTGTTTTATTTATTTATTTATTTTATTTCCCTGTTTTATCAAATGATGTAAGAGATAACAAATGGAATCCAAAGGTCACCATGTTGAAGGGCTAAGAATAAGATTGACAGAACACATGGAAGTGGCAAGCAAGTGGGTTTACTTGTGGAGGTGAAAAAAAATCATGCCCAAGACAGGAAAAAAGATCCTGTTGATCTCGATGTGGTGATGAATTACCAGCAAGGTCAACTCGCAACCTGCATAGTATATTTCAGCCACTTTTACATTATCTTGAGGCCTATGTGTTTTCTGTACAAGACAGTGGTAGATGAGAATATCCCAGACGGTCTGCAATATTTCAGCAGTCTTGGGATTCCTTCATTAGGCATTCATTGACCAGTTGTGGAGTCAGAAGAGACCGCTAGTAAGGATGATAGCCATGTGTGACACACTCCTTTTTCACCCTAAATGACCCTTCCTTGAGTGACAGGTTGCCCCCAGCACTTCTCCCTTAACAACACAGATGCCTCTAAAACAGGATGTGAATCTGGCCTCATATTGCCCTGGGACTGTTGTTTTATGGACTCTGACCCCCATTGTGGAAATATGATTTTTTTTCCTAGGGTCAAACAATTTTTGATCCTAGATGATTCCAGTAATAATAATTTTGTATTAAAGCAAGGCATTTTGCTCTTTCCCCCCATAGGTCACTCTCATTTTAGCTTTGGGAGGGGAATTAGGGCTAATTCCAGTGTGTTTTTAAGGACCAGAAATTGGCCCTGAAAGTTGGCTCCCTTGGTGCATCTGTGTCTTATTTCAGAGAATTCTAGCCATTCGCTGGGTGTCTCTGTGTTGCGGAGCAGGAAGCGAAAGCTGTAATGTAATCATGGTTGAAAGCTTTCATGATAATTCATGATGATTCCTGGATTCTGTTCACTTCTCATATTGGTGTCAAGAACGGCAACTTCTGGTTCTTGGCTGAGGTCCAGTTGTTGAGGATGTTTGCCCTGAAAACACTTGTACCAATTTGCTGATTCGAGCTTCTTAGCAACAGCTGTTCCAACATGATTTTTAGCAGCCAGAATGTCATGAACCTCTAATTAGGCTAATGTTCTTTATAGTTTGCAGTCTGGAAATATTACAAAGCTTTGATTTTCGCCGGCTTGTCATAGTCCCGCTGCTAACAACTCGTCCCATACTGCAGTGGGAATAAACAGAAAAAAAAATTTGGTGATGAGAATACTGGACTCTTGAGCATTATAACCCCAGCCATTTAGTATTGCATTTGGGGGAATTTGAGCTGCTTGAAAGAGGCCTAAGCAAGCTGCTGAACTTGTTGACTGAAAGGTTGTTGGTTCCAATTCAGGGAGTGGGGTGAGTGCCCACTGTTAGGCCCAGCTTCTGCCAACCTAGCTGTTCAAAAAAAATGCAAATGTGAGTAAATCAATGTGGCGGGAAGGTAACAGCGCTCCATGCAGTCATGCTGGCCACATGATCTTGGAGGTGTCTATGGACAACACCGGCTCTTTGGCTTAGAAATGGAGTTGAGCACCAACCCCCAGAGTCAGACACGGCTGAACTTAATGTCAGAGGACAACCCTTACCTTAATATCAATAGTAATAATCATTGTTATTTTGCCATGTTCCTTTATATCCTGCCTTTTCCTGTTAGGGACTCAATGGAGCTGACATAATGTTATAACCAATGCATATTACAATATAGAAACATCAGTACAATGCATATAAGTGATATTAAAATGGAATTCAACATCTATAGGCATAAAACAATTCGAAAATACATTAGAAGATAAAAATCAACAAGGCAGAACCCCATTAAAAGTCCATTGCAGTCAATTCCTAAGAGATTATCAGAATCAAAAAAGTTTTCAGTCGCCAGAGAAGCAAGCCCAGATTTTAGCTGTAGCACTGCAGGTTCTCACTTGTACAGATCTGTGAATGGTGTCACCACCATTTCTTGTATCTGTGCTTTGACAGCATCCATGAGGGCAGCTGGACTTGTAAATGAAATAGCCTTATGGGTGGTGGGTATTTATGCCTCTAGGACACGTTTCCTCCTTTGATTGTATTATAAAATTAAGTGGCTCAGAACTCAATGAGGAATATTTGGATGGTCATTTTAAGGATGATGAACAGTGAAGCCATTTGATGGGCACCTTCATGACAACCAGTCCTATCGTACTTAAGTTCTCTCCAAGTTTATGGTCTCAGAGAATAGTGAATGGAGTCCTCATTACTACCAATATTTACTTATTTATTTGTATAGTGCCATTAATACACATGGCACTTCACATAAAAAATAGTGGGAAGCTAGCCTTGCCAAAGACATGCAATCATTTTTTTTAAATGGGAAGGAAGGAGTATATCAGGAACAGTCCAGTTGTAAAATAAGCTATCCATAAAAATAGCAAAACAAATTCACTACAAAACAATCTATCTAGTACATATAATCAAAATATAAAGATTATGAAACTGATTAAACAAAAAATCAGTAGCTATTTAAATCCACAGATGTGTGGACAATTTCAACAGAAAGGAGGAAACCATGAAAATGAAAAAAAATCTGGCTACCAGTATTATAAAATTCTAAAGACAGGACAGTAAATAAAGAACAACATTCAGAAAACAGAGGAATTCCAGACAAGAATCAAGCAGGGCCAGCTAACACCTCCCAACAAAGAATTTCCTCAGGCAGGAAGCAGCCAGGCTTTGAAGCTGCAAGGCCATTAAATGCTAATCAAGGTGGCCAGTTGCAACATTCACGCTTGCCTCAAGTAGACAAGAGTTCTTTTTCCCACCTTGAACATTTGACAGATACATAAACTCCACTTGCCTAGTTTCCAACAGACCTCACAACTTCTGAGGATGCCTGCTATAGATGTGGGCAAAAAGTCAGGAGATACTGCTTCTGGAGAGAATGCATACAGCCTGGAAAACTCACAGCAACCCAGAAGCTATTTAATTGAGATTTCAACAACTAGGGAAGAAGCAGGCTGCAAATATTCAGGAGTACAATTCCAGGAATTATGGAGTAGGAAGTCAAAAATAATGGAGCTGAGCCAGAGAAGAAGAAGCTTTTGGTTGAGTGGAAAGGAATAAACAACCAAAAGTGTGGAGTAATATTAATATGGGTAGCCAAATAGATGATCTTGGCAGGAGAGTGGAGAAGAGAAACCAGAGAATGACTGGAATTAGGTGTTCATAGTTCTAACAGAATTTTCCTGTGATTTCCTCCATATTTCAGGAGTGGTTTTGGAGATTTTTAAAAAGGGAGACAGTTTTTCCAAAGCATGGAGTTAGAAGCAAATGAGAGGTCGGGGTGACATACTCCAGTCAGTAGTCACATCTCTGGTTTTGTTTGTGAGCTGAATTTATTTCCAGTGAAGGAATATACTGAGAATAGAATTGTAACTGTTTCCTCTTTTGGATTTATGCGAAAACATATCTTGTCTCCTTCCAGGGGAACTGATGATGAGCCTCCTGTGGTATTACCGACCAGAGCACACTCAGGGAGGCCGCAACCCTAGCATGCATCAGGTGAGCTGCCAGTACCAGAAAAACTTGTTTCCTTCAGGTCCCAGAGTAGCCCAGTGGCTGTGCCCCTTCTCCATGCCACCAATATTTAAGGTTTCCTAAGTAGTGTGCAGTTTTTTTCCTATTCTAAAAGTAAAAAATGCCTCACTTAAAACTGGAAAAAATAAACTCTAGGGCCCATTCATTTTGTCCGTGGCCCTCACTGGGATCGAGGCCAAGAACACTGCCAAAATTGAATTTGGGCTAGAAAAGGTGGTCCGCTTTTGGTTTCTATAGTACTAAAGATGATTATCATAACTGCACAGCCAGTTTTTTTTTTTGCAAAGAAAGAAGAGGACATACCTGCCTCTTAGATGCATAGCTGTTCAAAACCCATGGCCTGACCACAACTAGGTGGGCCAGCATTTCTGTCTGTGTAGTCAGCTTGGTTTGATTATGTAAACATTTATAGCAGAGCTTTCCAAACATTTCACATTGGTGACGTTTTAGACATGCATCATTTTGCAATATAGTAATTCGGTGTTGCTACCAAACTGGAGGTTTAACCAATGCTTTAAAAGAGATATGAACACCTACATAAATTGGTTTTTTACTTACTTTTACTTGGCCGATCCCTCGTAGCCCGAGAGTGATGATCCTCCAAGTGTAGTGTCTTGGCGGTGGGTCCATAGTTGGCTGTGGAGCCCTATTCTTGATCCGCATGTTCTCCCACAATGGGGACATCGGTTTCCAGGTGGAAGTTACTATCATATGATGCACCTATGTACTGCAGCTGACACACTAGCATGTCGAGACACACAATTTGGAAAACTCTGATTTACAGTATTTCATACTTCGGTGAGTACTCTGAATAGGAAGCCAGTAAAGGTTGGTACTCCAATGCCACACCTGAAATATTCATTATATTTAGTTGGCTTTAACTTTTCTGAAAATGGCAGCAATTAGCCAGGCTTTGAAGCTGCAAGGCAATTAAATGCTAATCAAGTTGGCCAATTGCAACATTCACACTTGCCTCAAACAGACAAGAGTTCTTTCTCCCACCCTGGACATTCCACAGATATATAAACCTCACTTGCCTAGTTGCCAACAGACCTCACAACCTCTGAGAATGCCTGCCATAGATGAGGGCAAAACGTCAGGAGAGAATGCTTCTGGAACATGGCCATACAGCCCGAAAAACTCACAGCAACCCAGCACTTGTATCTGTTTCAAAAATTCATGAAATATTAACATATTGTCGTGAGCATCAGCCGTCATGGATTGCAGCCCCCTCCATCAAATAGTTATGACACCCATTGTTGTGCTCTCTTGCAGAATGAGATCTTTGCATCCCGACATCAGGACGAAAACAGTGTTGCCTGCATAGAGGAGAAGTGCTATGTTCTGACCTTTGCAGAGTACTGCAGGTAGGTGGTGCTCTTTACCTGCGTTTGCTTCTTCCATACAGAGAGCTCCGCAGAATGGCTGGTGCCTTGGTTATCCACATGCTGACCTATAATCTGTTTGGCTTTCCTTGTTGGTAGGCGGTAGGCATGCTGCCCTGGGCATCTCAGCTATTTTTAATGGGCTTCTCTTGACCTATGTAAAAGAAATTGCCTCCCTCCAAACTGCCTGTCCATCTGCCTATCCACTACTTCAAGAAATAATAATATGTGCATACATATTTGATGTGCTGTGCAATGAATAAATTGTGAGTCAGCAAAAACATGCAAAGCCCTAAGACTAGAGGCAGCTTAAAACCCAGGAATCTCTTCCCCTGACAAAGCCTCTGACAAAACGGGAAGCTTACACTTCTGGAAGAAATGTTTGATGAAATGCTAGTTCTTCCCCTTTAGCTGTGGCTAAACTCCTATGCCTTGGCCGAAGGCCTTCCAGTTTGTCCAAACTGTACATAAGAATTTTCGTAATGTGCAGTTTGTCATCTCCTGTATTCTTGGTTTTAGAAATACTTCTTCGATTTAAATAAATAAATAAATAAATAAATAAAATGATCAAAGACAAATGTTAATCTTTGCCCACCTAGTTTATGGGGACAGAAAGACTTTCATATTGGGGAGGGGGCTTATATTTTGTTTGATTACTTTTGCGGCTTTGAATTAAGTCTGAGGCTTCATCCACACTGTAATGTGAATGCAGTTTGACACCACTTCAATTGCTGTCACTTAGCGTTATGAAATCACAAGAGTTGTAATTTTACAAGTGCTTTAAACTTCTCTGTCAAATAATGCTGGTGCTTGCCAAACTACAAATCCCAGGATTCCATAGCATTGAGCCATGTTAAAGTGGTGACAAGCAGCATTAATTCTACAGGTGGATCCACCCTAGGTCTCTAGCAGGTAGGACTTCAGAGGACATCAGTACAGAAGAGCCAGTTGGACTAGTCTTTTTTTAATGCAGCAGTTGTGGTGTGTGTTTGTCTGTGTCATAGCTTATTATGTAACCACCCTGTGTGTTTGTGTCTCTGTAGAAAGGCAGCATAATTAGTTTTAAGCATGCCAGTTCAAACTGGTTTACACTTATCGTATTGAGTAAGCATATAAAGAGCAGAGGGAAGTTCCACTTGACCATTCCCAGTTCAATTACTGTGTGCCATCCTTTGCTAAAACATGGCCTGAGGTACTTAAAACATGGCAAAAATGCCATCATGACTATTAGATGATAGTCATGGGCCCGGTAACCGTTTCAGCTGTTTAATTCATGTTTTCATACCCTTTGTTTTGGATGGCACAAATGAAACAAATGGTAAGGAAATATTAATGAAACGAAAGGAAAGTGGGAATGGTAAATGTCTGGTCTTCTGATTTTTGGTGCTTGGCTGCAGGCCCTGCCAGGCACAGGCGCTTTGGGCCTGCATGCCATACATACACTCTCTTTCTAAGGTGTGTGTGTATGTGTGTGTGGCTTGCAGGCCTAAAGTGCCTGCGCCTGCCAGGGCCTGCAGTCGAGTGCCTAGCTCCTCTTATGTCTGCTCAGCTGCAGGCCCTGGCAGGCACGGGTACTTTTGGCCTGCAAGCCACACGTGCACTCTCCTTGGGAAGCCCGTCCATTGCTGCCAATGGGACAAAAATATTTGTTTTTTTCAGACCTGGTACAAAAAAGCTCATTTGGAAAAATGCCCATTTTTGGGAGAGGCGCTCGAAAACAAAAACGGGGCCTTACAAATGAAACAAACAGAAATGGATAGTGATTCTATACAAATGCACAAGACTATTAGACAGTGCCTAAGGGAATTTTGGTTTTTTTATTTTTGCAAGGGAGCATTGATGGGAGTGCAGGCTGAATAATGTGGTATTTCACAGTTGCCCGTCCAGGCATTAGATGGTGATATTGCATCTCTGCATGTCATTTTTCCTTCTTTTTGTGTATCCTGGAAAGTTGGGGGGTGCTATTTTACTCACTTCAGGATTATCATTTTCTTTGTTTCACCCCAATGTTTTCTTTAATTGAGAAATGGCTTCAGCAATACTGAAAATTTAAACTCTCATAATTAATTTGCCGCAGCCAGCAGCATTTGTCCAAGTAACTAGAGTGACACTACCATCTCTCTTCCAGATTTTGTGCCTTGGCAAAGCGTCGAGTTGAGGGGATCCCAGGCAGAAAAACCATGATGGTCCCTCCCTCAGAAGAGTATTCAACCCCTCCTCACCGCAAGGTGCCAGAGGACACCGACCCGGAGCTGGTTTTCCTCTGCCGTCACGTCTATGACTTCAGACACGGGCGCATCTTGAAGAATCCCCAGTAACGGAGCCCAGCATCTGTGGGGTTTGACAAGTGGCAAAAGAGGGCCAAGGGCAGACTGACCTCATTCCCAGTGCATGCTTCCAACCTTTGCGGAGCAGTGCCCATAGGCACAGAGCAGAATGCCTAAGCACCCGATTCTCTGCATTTGGAAACAGATTTCCTCTTAAGGCAGATGTTCAAAGCACAGCACTTCATATAAAGAGCATAAATGGAAATATATATCTGTAGAGAAATGTGTGTGTATATAGATATAGGTGCTCGCTTCTGTAATCTATATCTATATGTACAATGATTTTCATATATGGGGAGAAAAGGCGGGAGCTGGGCCAAGGGGATAAAAGCCAGTAAACTGAATCCAGAGTCAAGCCAGTCTTGGTGGGGATGGTTAGATCAGACAGACGGGGAAGTACAGCACCACTGACATGACCCCTGTGACATCTCCTTGGGGTTGATGTACTATTTGATCTTTGAGGCAAACACTTACTCTGGAGATGTTAATTTCCTTGGTGTCCTTTTCACATGTTGACTACATTTCTCTTTGCAAGTAAAAGAAGGATCGCAAATCAAGTATAGTTGTCTAGTCAGACTAGGGTTTTCTATCTTGCAGTTGTCTTCATCTCTAAAGTGGGAAAGATATAATCGTGGATCACTCACACTATTGTGGGAAAGTTGGATATCTTTCCAAGACTGTGATCCTAAGCCACTGGCTTAGCGGGAGTTTCTGTTGAGATCAATGGAACCTACTTTGATGCAAATGTGATTCAGATGAGGATATGTGAAAAGAAGGCCCATCCTTAAGAACCACACTTCATCTTTGTGTGTATGTGGGGTGGTGCACCTGAAAAGCTCTCAGAATATGAGAGCGAAGTGACAGCTGCTACAATACCGATCTCTCTCCTCCACAAGTCTAGGGAGGTGTCCCTTCTGCTGATAAAAATAATTTATATTCTTTCCCACCCCAATTCCATTTCCTTCACTCTCCTTCGCAGTCCTTGTAGAAACCAGACTTGCACACTCCAGGGTACTGGGGAGGGCTGGAAGCCAGAGTTAAAAGAAATGATAAGGTACTGCTTGAGCTGCATTCTATCCAACAGGCATCTTAACCTGACCTGGGCTTAACCCGGTGGGCTGTTGCCTGTCTACCTCTCTTCTCTCCCGGCACCTCCGCTCCCTCCAAATCTCAAACACTGACATCCAAGCATGCCCGCCAAGGCGAGACTCTGGGAGACTCGGGCTCCCAAGTGAGAGGGTTTGCATTTTGAGAAACTGCTACCTGATTCCTATGGATACTTCTGCCTCTTGCCTTACATGTATAGCTGTTAGAAATACTTTAGTTTAGCTTTGACACAAAGCTATTTCAGTTAATTCTAAAGCAAACCAAAGGACAGCATAAGAAGAATCCACCGAATCAGTCACACAAAGCTGGGATTCTGTTTGTAGATTGCACTAATTCCGACGAAGTGAGAATCAACACTGTATCAGTTCATGTACCTGCTGACGGCCAGAGTCGCTCACCTGAGCTAGGGACCTGCTTGCGCCGGGTGGGTGGTTAGGAGGGAGGGGTGTTCCGAACTAGTGTTAAATGATAATAGAAGTGTTCCTACGGCTTTAATATTGTTGTCTTTTACGAGTAGAAGTAGCACTACCTGTACTTGCCCACAGGCTCGATCTGAGAGGTTTACCATCTGGCCTGGAGAAAGTAGCCCCCTCCCACATTCAGTTCCTTGTGAGTGTGTGCCGTGTGTATGTGTGTGTCAACACAAACAGTCCCTACAGATTTGCTCTGCATACCAAAGAGGGGAGAGTGATGGGAAGATAGAAAAAACTGAGAGGTCAGAGCCGCAAGGCTTGGAAAGGAGGGGATTCCTTCAGTGGTCAAGCTGGAAAGTATTCATTCTCGCTCCCGCCCTGATTCAGAGCAAGAACCCATGGTTTGGCCATGGTTCCTAGTGCCAAATGTGGTGCCGTGATCTGTCATAACTATGGCTTGGGCACATAGAGGGGCTTCTCAGAATTAAACTTGTGCTGGAAAGCACACCTTGTTTTATAGCACAGGAGTGGAACGGGATGGGGTGGGCAGATTGGTGAAAACCTTTCACTTGGTGGAAAGGGAGAACTGGCATCACTCTTGGCAGTCTAAGGGTAAGCGGGAGTGATTTGGGAGCAATATTGTGGGTTCTGTAAGTACTGCCTGTTCTTCTATTCCCCCCTCCCCCAGTTAAGGAGGGAATTGATGAGAAAAACAAGCAACTGGAATATGAAATGTTCCTATACATGATATGGGTAAAAGAGTGTGTGTTAGGAGGTGGAGAGTCTGATCTATGCAGATTCAGATTTGGGGTTCCTTTGTGCTGTGACTGGATGGGGTGGGGGAGCAAGGGAAGACATGGTAGATAACCTCTTTTATGAAAAGAGGGTGGTGACAGGAGACCTCAATGTATTTAATCCAGATTAAAAATTCAGGATGCCTCTGCCTTTCTGTGTAGAGTTTTGAAATTTCAAACTTCAGAAACCAGAGCAACTTCCCAAAAAAAATTAATTCTGGTTTCTACTGCTTTCTCCTCCACCTTTCTCTGGACTCCTCTCCAGGCAGTGGGTTGAAAGGAAAGCCAGGCTCCCTAAGGCAAGAAACGTCTCTGCCTGGGTTCTGGGGTCGGCCAGGGTCCGTGCCCCACTGTCTGGAAAGGAGAAATCCCAGCCCTTCTCTGATTCCGATAAAGTCCGAATCTACTTCAGGCCAAGAAATATTGTTTAAAGACTTGTGTGGTTGTTTTTATGCTGTTTTGCGGACAGCATGTAAATGATTTGAAATGTCTTATCTGAAATGAAAATATTTCATGCTTTTTTAATCTATTAGATATGGAAATATTTTTGAAACTGAACATGCAGTCAGTAGAATTTAAATTGAAATGTAATACATGTAAAATATATTTTAGTTGATAATTTTGTAAAATGCACTTTTTTGTGTCTCTTCCCTTTGTTTCCCAGATCTGTATTTCAGTGTTTACAGATGGAATGAAAGCATTCCCTATACCCTCCTTCTGTGAAAAAGATATATTAGAAGTAATTCTTTAAAATAAATTTGAGAAATTGTATTGATTTAGAAAACAAGGTTTTGGTCTCGTAGTGTTCATTTCCAATCTGTCTCAGGGGACACTTCTTGGTAATAGAAAAGGACATAATATATCTTAGAGCCATTAAATTGTGGGCCACCTCCAAAGCAAGGATATAATAATCATAATCACATCCTTGGCTGCTGCAAGAATTTTGTGCAGACGGACTACAAGCAGAGGCACAACGTAGTTGCTTGGATGATTCATTGGAACTTGTGCCACAAATACCATCTGCCTACAACAAAGAACTAGTAGGATCACAAGCCTGAAAAAGCTATGGAAAAGGAAAACATCAAACTACTCTGGTACTTCCGAATTCAAACTGACAAGAGTTTTGGGAGCAAAATACTTCTGACCTCACAATGTGGGGAAAAAAACAAATATGGATCAATGATGTTGCAATCCCAGGCAACAGCGGGATTGACAAGAAGCAACTGGAAAAACTTACACAATATGAGGATTTAAAGATAGAACTGCAAGGACTCTGGCACAAGCCAGTAAAGGTGGTCCAGTGTGATCAGCACACTGGGTACAGTGCCTAAAGACCTTGCCCTGCACTTAAAAGCAATTGGTGCTGACAAAATTACCACCTGTCAGCTGCAAAAGACCACCCTACTTGGATCTGCATGCATTATTCACCAAATACATCACACAGTTCTGGACACTTGGGAAGTGTCCGACATGTGAGCAAATGCAAAAGCCAGCACAGTGATTTTTTTTTTGCTGTGTACTAATCTTGTGTATCAAATAATAATAATAATTATTATTATTATTTATATCTCACCCTTATCCAAGGTGACTTAGGGCAGTTAACAACAAATATTGGCAAATATCCAATGCCATAAAAACTAGACCAAGAAAAAATAATCCACCCCACCCTACCCCAAAACAAATCACATCTATATCAAAAGCAACAACAGATTAAAAAGAATTACATAATAACAAAACAAATATATGATTCTGCAGCTTACATTGGAAAGAAACAGCTAGGATCTAAATAAAGCAAAATAAGGTAAAAATATTGGAATTTTTTGCATCAAAGATACCTAACATTTTAAAGTGAAATGCATCCAATTCTTACATTTTTATGGTCCACAATGTCAAAATTGTATGTAAACCACCCAAGTACACAAGTTGATTCTTAGCAAAACAGCATGGACTGATCAGCTTCCTCCAAATAAGAATGTGCTACAGTGCCAAAACAAAACAAAAACTGGTTCTTTTAATTCTACATCTAATTTCAGGTTATAAAGAGAATAAATTTAAACAAAAGTACTGCCATATATTAATGCAGGGGTCCCCAAACTAAGGCCCAGGGACTGGATACAGCTCTCCATGGACATTTACCCAGCCCTCGCTCAGGGTCAACCCAAGTCTGAAATGACTTGAAAGCACACAACAACAGCAATCCTATCTCATCAGCCAAAAGCAGGCCCACACTTTGAAATACTAATAAGTTTATATTTGTTAAAATTGTTCTTCATTTTAATTATTGTATTGTTTTTAAGTGTTTTTTGCACTACAAATAAGATATGTGCAGTGTGCATAGGAATTCATTCATGGTTTTTTTTTTTCTCTCCAAATTATAATCCGGCCCTTCAACTGTTGAGGGACTTTGATGTGGCCTTCAGTTTAAAAAGTTTGAGAACCCCTGTATTAATGTATTAACCCAGCAACTTATTCTAATAAGTTTTATATGTTTTTGATGTCTAAGTATTATGTTTTCTCCATTCTCACTTTTACAATTAATGCAAAGTTAATGAGACATGTAATGTGATGCCCAAGGAAGGTTATACTAACCATCAGACTATTGCATTAATCTTCCATGCAATCGAAGGAAAGGTCAAGATTTTACAACTGAAGCATGTGTCTACACTGTAGAATGGATGGAATTTGACACCATTTTAACAGCTATGGAATCATTGAAGTTGTAGTTTTACAAGGTCTTTAGTCTTCTCCACTAGAGCGCTGGTGCCTCACCAAACAACAAATTGTGAAGCCTTAGATCCAGTAAGAAATGTTAAATGTAGAAACTGGGCTCAGAAAATAGAGAACATTTTGCAAATATAGGCTGGGTAATGGAGAGCACCAAAGAATTTCGCAAGAAAAACAGATTGGGTTTTATCATTTACAGAAAAGCTTTTGATTGTGTATATTATGGGTAACAATGGATCACTCCAGACTGACAAAGTTTTGGAATACAATACACCAGACATCACGATTGTGGAAAAGAAAAAAAGTTTGGATTATTGATGCCACCGTACCAGGTGACAGTTGCATTGAGGGAAAACAACAGGAAAAACTCAGTCATTATCAGGACCTCAAAATTGAACTGCAAAGGCTCTGGCATAAACCAGTACAGGTTGTCCCAGTGGTGATCGGCACACTGGGTGCCGCGCCAAAAGATCTCAGCCGGCATTTGGAAACAATAAACATTGACAAAATCACAATCTGTCAACTGTAAAAGGCCACCTTACTTGGATATGCACGCATCATTCGAAAATACATCACACAGTCCTAGATGCTTGGGAAGTGTTCGACTTGCGATTTTGTGATATGAAATCCAGCATATAGGTCTTGTTTGCTGTGTCATGCTGTGTTTTGTATCAGTAAAATAATAATAGAAAACTTTTATTTGTATCCCGCCCTGTCTCCCCATGGAGATTCAGAGTGGTTTCCAACAAACCAGGCAAACATTCAATGCCTATATCAAAAACAATGACCATAAAAATTAAACAGAAAAAAGAATACTACACATTGTCCAACAGAAAGTTAAATTGTGCAGCTTCCATTGGATAATAACAATTTTAAAAGCCAGCCTAGCCAGGGTCATACCAGTTCCATTCTGCTTAGTCCATACTACGGATTGTATACCTCCTCATTATATGCTTGTGAGCACAGTAAAGTTTTAAGCAGTTTTTTAAAAGAAAGGAAGGGGGCATTTTGATCTCCTTAGGGAGGGAGTTCCAAAGATGAGCAGCAACCACTAAGAAGCCCCCCCGCCCTCGTTCCCACCAGCTGTGCTTGGGACAGGTGGGACAGACAGGTGGGCCTCCACTGATCGAAGAGCCTTGGCAGGCTTGTATAAGGAGATGCGGTTTGCTGGATAATCTGGGCCCGAACCATTTAGGGCTTTAAAAGTAATAAGTTGCACTTTGTATTTAGCCCAGAAGCAAGATGGCAGCCAGTGGAGCTGCCAGAGCATGGGAGTGGCTCTCTTCCTGTGCAGAACCAGAGTTAGTAATCTGGCTACAGATCTCTAAAACAGCTGAAGTCTCCGAACTATCTTCAAAGGAAGCCCCACATAGAGCACGTTGCAGTAACCCAAACGGGATGTGACTAAGGCGTGGACTACCATGGCCACATCTGGTGTCTCAAGGTATGGCCGCAGCTGGTGCACAAGTTTTAATTGTGCAAATCTATTCCTATGGACAAGAAGCCACTGTCAGGACAGAATCTGGAGAAGCAGAATGGTTTTAGGGTTGCTGTAGGTTTTTTCGGGCTATATGGCCATGTTCTAGAGGCATTTTCTCTAGAACATGGCCATATAGCCCGAAAAAACCTACAACAACCCAGTGATTCAAGCCATGAAAGCCTTCGACAATGCACAGAATCGTCTTTTGGTTGGCTAGGGGGTTACACTCTGAATTTTTTATACACAAATATGTGTTATGACCCTTGTATTTGCAGGGATATGTTCCAAGATCCCCTATGGATTCCTGAAACCAAAAATAATTGTGAACCCAACATTTTGACTATACAGGCAGTTTCTGAGTTACAAACATATGACTTACAAACGTCTCATAGTTAAGTACAGGGGTGAGACAACAGGAAGTGAAATAAATCTACTGATTGGAAGGGAGATTCAGCCCTGAAAGAGTTGTCATGGGGGAAAAGGTTCCTCCACTAAAGATTTATCATCAAACCTTGTTTCCACAACAAGCCATTTTTTTCAAATTATCACAGAGACAGAAAGTGAGGTGAAATCAGAATTGGCACAAACAGCTAAACAAACACCACAGGGGTGTTACACGTAAAAAAAAAAGTACTCGTTTCAATTTACATACAAATTCAGCTGAAGAACAAATCTACAGAACCTATCTTGTTTGTAACTTGGGGACTGCCTGTACTTGGGCTGGAAGTCTACCATAGAATTGGAAGACCTAGGAAGGCCCACAAAACATGTTGGGCTGTGTGCATATTTTTTAAAAGTGGTTAAGTGAAACTGGTCATCAAACCTATGGATAAGGAGAGTACTGTATACACAAAGTAGATTAGATTTAGAAGAAGGAGGGAAAATAATTTTTTAAGTAATTTAAGACATACCAATGACACAGCTTTACTAAGAGAAAATAGCAAAGACTGAATGCTGAGGAATGTCAGGGCAAAAAGTGCAAAAGCATAGTCAGATTTTAATATTAAGAACACAAAAAATAATTCCTACCTAAGATTTATATAGCTTTAAAGTGGTTGATGAAGATGTCAAAATAGTTCAAAGATTTTCTATACCTTGAGTTGATCATCTATCAAAATGGAAACATCAGTTAAGGGATTAGAAGACTAAGAAAGGCTGTCAAGTTTAAACAAGTATCTGAAATCTGAATCATTCATGCCATATTTCTGGTTTCGGTGTATGGTTGTGAAATCTGGATAGTAAATTAAACTGACAAGAAAAAAAAACCAGCCATATAATACAACAACTTAGCTGGTAACTTTGATTTAGGGCTTCTGCAGGAACATACTATTAACTGATAAGTAATGCCATCTGGTGGCAAAATAGGAACTTCCCAAATAGCCCAGATACTTGCACTGAAGAAGATGATGAATTGATCAAAGCTAGTTCTACTTTCGTTTTTTAAGGAAGTTAACTTTCAAAGCCATCCACACACACACCACAAAAATGCTGCAACTGGCTGGTGTCCTCAACCTCCTATTATTGGCCAAATGTTAAAACTGACATTGTTGAAATATAGTGTGATCCTATATATTATATATTAT